TTGTTGCATTTGCAAAATGGACGTTGGTGCTGGGTTTGACATACGAGAGAAAAAAGAAAAAAATTACATAAAAATTTAAGATATATAATATGATATTATAATAATATTTCTAGAGTACTTAGAAAATACGGATTTAAATTATAATTAATATTTAAAGTGTATTTATTTAAATATATATTGTGCAACAATTTAAATTACTTTTTATGTTGGTAACATTACATACTTCATTTCATAGATAAATAAACATAACTTCATGTTGTTGTTGACATTTCAAATCAAAACAATAATTATAAAAAAGTGATTAATTATTTATATATTTGTTTATATAATAAAACGTGATAATCCTAGACTATATTAGAATACGATGTGGTGATAATTAGCATCAGTAATAAGTTTACGAACGTTTTTTAAACAATTTGGCACTTTGTAAAACTAGTGTTTGCAAATGCGGTTACAATATATGATTGTCAACAAATAGATTTGAAAACTTCTTAATTATAATTAGTAAAATTGCAGCATTGCAGTTTGCTAAATAATGTCCAGGCTTTATTAATGTGTTAATTAATGGTGATGAACTTCATTTTTAGTGTGGTTTCAATGATTTTATTTGAAATTGTTTGTTGGTGTGTAATCCCTAATCCTCTGTTATAATGTTTAATTACTGAAGCAAAAGTGCATAATTAGTGTGCGGAATTGTGTTTTAACTTGGTTTAGCATATTTATCATAGTGTTTCGCCCATATAGTATGTTTTAAACCAAATTTTCGAGCCGGGTTTGTACTTTTCTTCGGGGTATGTTTTTCTCATCATCCGCCATTTTGAATTTGCGCGACAGCTATTAATTTAGCTACTAATCAGCTCGCAGCTCATTAGCGCGTCATCCTCCGAACTGTTAACATCTCCGCGCAGTGCAGTGCAACAAATAAGTAAATATTATTTATTTTAAAACAAATCAGTGTCTAAAAAGTGTGTTCCGTTGTGCAACGTGCATTTAAAAAGGTAAGTGCTTCTTTTTTCATATAATTTTGCACAATTATTGCGTTTTATTAACACAATAAAGTGACGCCATCAGGTTCTGATGCAAACGGTTTTTGGCGTGTTTTAAAACGTCGTATGCGTGCTGTATTTGTTGATTTACGATAAATATATGTATGTTTATTTAATATTATTGCACTTTTTCCCATTATTTATTGAGATTTTTGCATTTTTTTGCAATTCAAAATTTGTGATTTTGGAAAATCCAAGATGGCGGCCATACCACAACAAGTGGTTTTCTTCTGTTTTAAACAATACAGTCGTTTCAACGACGTATTATTAATAAAAATTCGATAAAGTTTGACCTTTTGTATCTAAATAACATTAAAAATTGGGTCTGTACAGTTTTTTTGCAAAAAAAGTAACATTAAGTTTTTCAGTGTTGTACCTAAACAAAATGGCGGCTCCCAACTGTCAACTAACGAAAGTTTCAATTGCAATTAGAAAATTACAATATAATTACAATCGCATATGCAATGATAATATAATGTTAGATAAATATAGCAACGATATTTTAAGTTGATCGTATGCTGTTATTGTTATCTTTAGCAACGATGTTATAACTATATAAATTGAACGTTTGCTGTTTTTATTATTTTTACGATAAACAGCAACGATATTATTAACATGGACGTTTGCTGCTTTTATCATTTTTGGCAACGATATTATAAATTGGACGTTTGCTGATGTTTTTATTATTTTGGGCATTGGACATCAACGATATCATAAATTGGACGTTTGCTGCTTTTATTATAATTTTGAGTATGAACAGCAACGATATTATAAATTGGACATTTGCTGTCTTTATTTTAATTAAAATAAAATCTAAACAATAATTAATTTTCACGATGCTAAATAGTTTTTCTATTAATTAATTTGAGTCTCTTTTAATTACAGATATGGGCCAATAATTCATCAAAATGGTACAATGACACCAAAACATATCTTCTGGAACATCCTAGGTCCTCAATTAGGATCTTCATTGGTGATGGACATTATCAGGTACAGATTTATTACACAATATTATTAATTGGCTGTTTGCTGCCTTTATTATATTTTTGGCAACGATATTATATTAATTGGACGTTTGCTGCTTTTATCATTTTTGGCAACGATATTATGAATGGGACGTTAGCTACTATAGATAAATAAGCATAAGACGTTTGCTACTTTTATTATTTTTGGCAACGGTATTATGAATTGGACGTTTGCTATCTTTGTTCTTTTGATTGTTTCTGGTGATGAACAGCAACGATACATAAATTGGACGTTTGCTGTTTTTATTATTTTGGCAACGATATTATATATTGGACGTTTGCTGATGTTTTTATTATTTGGGCGTTGGACAGCAACGATATCATAAATTGGACGTTTGCTGCTTTTATTAATTTTGATTATGAACAGCAACGATATTATATATTGAACGTTTGCTGCTTTTAATTGAATAAAATCTAAACAATAATTAATTTTATCATGCTAAATAGTTTTTCTCTTAATTAATTAAGTCTCTTGTAATTACAGATATGGGCCATCAATTCATCAAAATGGTACAATGACATCAACACAGATCTTCTGGAAAATCCAAGGTTTTCAATTAGGATTTTTATTGGTGATGGACATTATCAGGTACAGATTTATTACACAATATTATAATTGTCGTTTGCTTTTTTATTATTTTTGGCAACGATATTATTAATTCGACGTTTGCTGTTTTTATTATATTATAAACAGCAACGATATTTTATAAATTGGACGTATGCTGTTTTATCATTTTTGGCAACAATATTACATATTGGATTTTTGCGGCTTTTATTCTATTTTTGACAACGATATTATTAATTGGACGTTTGCTTCTTTTTATCATTTTTGGCAACGATATTATAAATTGGACGTTTGCTGATTTTATATTATTTTTGACAACGATATTATAAATTGGTCGTTTGCTGCTTTTATATTATTTTTGGACTAACGATATTATAAATTGTATTTATTATTTTGAGTATGAACACAATATGAAATTATAAATTGGACGTTGCTGTTTCAACAAAAATAAAATCAAAACAATAATTAACTATTACTATTTTAAATAGTAATTCCATTAATTAATTTAAGTCTCTTTTAATTTCAGATATGGGCCATCATCAGATACAATGATATCAAAATAGATCTTCTGAAACATCCAAGGTCCTCAATTAGGTTTATCATCAGTGATGGACATTATCAGGTATAAATATATTTCACAATATTATTAATTTGTTGTTTAATGTTTTTATTATTTTATCTGGCAATTATATTATAAATTGGACGTTTGCTGTTTTTATTATTTTTGAGTATGAACAGCAACGATATATAAATTGGACTTTTGCTGCTTTATTTCTGGTAATGAACAGCAACGATATTATAAGTTGGACGTTTGCTGCTTTTATTATATTTTTGGCAACGATATTATTAATTGCACGTTTACTGCTGTATTTTAGGCGATGAACAGCAACGATATTGTAAATTGCATTATCTGGCAATGATATTATAAATTGGACGTTTGCTGTTTTTTTATTTTGAGTATGAACAGCAACGATATTATAAATTGGACTTTTGCTGCTTTTATTTCTGGTAATGAACAGCAACGATATTATAAGTTGGACGTTTGCTGCTTTTATTATATTTTTGGCAACGATATTATTAATTGCACGTTTACTGCTGTATTTTAGGCGATGAACAGCAACGATATTGTAAATTGGACGTTTGCTGTTCTCAACTGAAATACAATCTAAAACAATAAAATTAATTATTAACTATTTTAAATAGTAATTCCGTTAATTGATTTAAGTCTCTTTTAATTACAGATATGGGCCAACAATTTATCAAAATGGTACAATGATATCAAAACAGATCTTCTGGAAAATCCAAGGTCCTCAAATAGGATCTTCATTGGTGATGGACATTATCAGGTACAGATTTATTACACAATATTATTAATTAGTCGTTTGCTGTTTTATTATTTCTGGCAACGACATTATTAATTGGACGTTTGCTACTTTTATATTATTTATGGAAACGATATTATTAATTGGACGTTTGCTGTTTTTATTATTTTTGAGTATAAACAGCAACAACATTATAAGTTGGACGTTTGCTGCTTTTATATTATTTTTTAACAGCAACGATATTATTAATTGGACGTTTGCTGTTCTTATTATTTTGGGCTTCTATATATTGGATTCTATAAATTGGACGTTTGCTGCTTCCAACATAAATAAAATCTAAGCAATAAATAATACTATGCTAAATATATTTATAATACAATACTATAGTATTGTGTATAGTTATAGTAATTTCATTAAATAATTTAAGTCTCTTTTAATTACAGATATGGGCTATCATCTGATACAATGAAATCAAAACAGATCCTCCAGAACATCCAAAGTGCTCAATTAGGATCATCCTCATTCAGGACCATCAGGAACAAATGCTATAAGCTTTTTTTTAAATGTTTACAAATTCAATTTACTACAAGCATTTTTTAATATCAGTATATGTTTTTACAGTAACACTTTTTAGGTACTGCAAAAGAAAACCAAAGGGTCATTAAACTAATTAATAATTAAATACTAATTTAGTCAAAAACACTTAACACAACATTATTAGGAAGAGATTGGATACAATTAGGAATTTCAATATGAATAGAAGATTTATATAGAATTATATAGAAGATTTATATATAATATTTATAGAAAGTCCAAAATAATGCAGATAAATATATATTAATTTTTGTTTTTGAATATATAATCATAACTGAAGATTTAAAAAATTATGACAAGTGTTGCCAACCTAACCTACTAAACACATATGTTTCTAACTTCAGTTTGGATTCTAAAGTTGTCAAAATCAATCTATTTACAAATAAATTCAAAAACAAATCATTTTATATAGTTTATTAAATAATTATTTATATTAATCTCTATTTTATCAACCAAAACAGTGGCATTATATTTATTTATATAAAAAAAATACTTAACACCAAATTGAAAAATGAATGCTGATGATAGTGATCAACAATTCTGTTTGAAATGGAAAACCTTTCCTTCTAGTTTGTCTTCACAATTTAAGACTTTAATAGATAATGAAGACTTTGTTGATGTCACTATTGCTTGTGCAGGAAGTCTTGTGGGGGCGCACAAACTTGTGCTATCTGCTTGTAGTCCTTACTTTAGGACCATATTTAAGGTAAAGAATTTTATAAAAAACTAGCCAAAAGTCAGGTTAAACTTTGGAAACAGTTTTGATTTACATTAGAATTAACAATTTGATCATTATTAGACTGAGCTCATCAAATATGCCTTTTCTCCATTTGTAAATTGTTAATAGTCCATTTTATTTTTAATGCATTTTGTATTTAATACAGAAAACACTTTGTTGATGTCACTATTGCTATCTACTCTAAAATTGTCAAAATTGAGCTATCTACTTTAGAACAATATTTATGTATTTATTCCTTTTATTATTCTCAATTTCTTTTTAGAACAACCCTTGCCAACACCCAGTATTATTATTACTCGATGTAGAAGCAAAGCATATAAAGGCATTACTCCAATTTGTGTATTGCGGAGAGGTTGATATTTCTCGAAGTGACTTGCCACAGTTTTTACAAATTGCTGAACATTTGCAAATTAGAGGACTTGCTGATAAAAATCAAGAAACAATAAATGAGGTACAGGGATTAAATGATAATGAAACAATAAATTAATATTAATGGAGCAAATTTATGTTTTTGTAAATTAATAAAATATCAAGACAATTTGGCAAGTAAAATTTATATAGAGTAAAATGTTATAAATTAAAGCTGCTTTAAAAACAAAACCAGAAATTAAAATATGAAAACTGTTATGGGATTTGTCAATGTGTTTTTAGTTTTATAATGACTAAAATAATAAATCAATTATTATCAATTATTATATTAATTCCTATTACAGCCAATTGAAACACTAATTCAAGAAAGAGTCTTTCTCCAATCTCAATCTTCTGTGACACCTCAAGAATATTTGAAAGAGCATGAAACTACAAATTTTAATAAAGTTGGCAGTGAAGTTTCAAATGAACTTTCACCGATTCCAAGCGCCAGTGGTGATAAAAATCAAATAAAATCTGGTGTACCTAAGGATGAAGTTATTGAACCTTGTTCTGATGAAATGGATGAACTCATAATACCTAAAATTGAGATGGAGGCTGATGATGTGGGTATGTCGGTAGAGGAAATGGAAGACAATAATTTGGTTAATTTTCCTGATCACTTGACCCCAGGTAAGAGAAATACACACACACACACACACATATATATATATATATATATATATATATATATATATATATATATATATATATATATATATATGTGTGTGTGTGTATTTAGATTTTATTATTCAAGAGTCTCCTTTTTAAAATTTGTCATCTACCTATGTATTTTACACCAATGATTATTATTGTTTTTTCTTATTTTTTTCGGCCATGCTAACTTTATTAGATAATTTGATACATTTAAAAATGTATCAAAAAACTTAATGTATCACAGAAACAAATTTTTTTGTCAAAACTCCCGAAAAACACTATTTTTTATAGGATTTAGTCAATTTCGGGAAAATTTGGTCACTGAAATGCCTAGCTTTAGCTTGGGCAAAACTATAAATCCAAAAAATTCAGCTCATACACTAAAAGTAATGTACACTGCTGAAAGAAAGAAAGTAAGAAGAATGTGCACTGGATGTTACGCTCAACTAAAAGAAGCAGAAGGTCGAGAAGCAGCTAGAAACAAAGGAAAAAAAGTTTCAACCTACTGCTCAGACTGCGAACAACAGCCCTTTTTTTGCTTAGAATGTTTTGGGCAGCATAATAAAACAATATAATTAATTATATTAAGATGAAAATGATTAAAATGTATTTTTTCAACTGAAACAAATACAAAACATGGTAAGAACAGTATGATAAAAAAAATTTAAATGATAGGATTATGTATATTTTGTTTCAAGTATAAAGTAAATTTATAAGTGCTTTTAATAAAAACTAGTTACATGATTTCATAGATATCATTAAATTTAGTTTCTTAATTTTTAATTTTTAAATTACTAGAAAAAAAAATTGCTTACAAAAATAAATTGCTCATTTTTTCAAAAAATTTTTTTTATTATTTGACAATCTAGCAATCAATCAATTAATCAATCTATAAGTTAAAATGAGTGTATTGAAAGTCAAAATTTATTTATTTAAAAGTTTTTTTGTCATACAGTTTTTACTAAATTATTCAATAATATAGTTACAAAATGTTTTGTTTCTTGATAGAAAAAACTGGATGAAGCAACATATCTAGTTTCGAAACGTCTTAATTATACATCTACTGAAAATAATTATTTTTGTTTTATTTTTTTGTACTAGTTGTTTGAAAAGAAACATGAATTGAATATCCAGGATTCATTTAATATATATATATATATATATATATATATATATATATATATAATATAGAATTTTGTGATATGAGTGGATCGAATATTAAATGTTAAATATGAACAATACAACACTTAGATTTTTAACACACACTTTATTTGGTAATTACAGACGTTTCGAGACCATGGTATGCCTCATCTTCAGTGTAATTTCAAAAACAGTTACTTATATACTACACATTTTTTAATATTTTATTTAAATTACATTTATTTTTTGATAATACAAAAAACACCAACTATTACTGCAAAGCTTGACACAGTACTAAAACATGTGTTTTTTGTATTATCAGAAACAACTGGGAAGAGGGCTCAGTTAGACCTGTTAACACATAGTGCTATTTTAGATTTTCATATTTTAGATTTTATATTATAATACACTGATGATGAGACAAACCTAGTCTCGAAACATTTGTAAAATTAATTTTATTTAATAAATTAGTGCAAAAAAAGTGCTGTTTGTTCATATTTCTAAATTAATGTCTAAACACTCAGAATACATTTGTTATATATATACATATATAAGCCCTATTCTCTCTTCTTTTGTAGATCTGAGAGAGTTCTCAAACTCTACCTTGCAGCAAACCATCACTGGATCTAATAACACCTGCCGAATGTGTGGCCAAGTGTATTCGAACCGTTCGAATCTCAAACAACACATCAGTCTTATCCACAGTCCTGAATCAGTGGCCTGTCCCATATGCCAAAAACCATTTAAAACAAAACTCTACCTCCGTAGACACCTCAAATCCTTTCACCATGCCAAACTGGTGCAGAAGAACAATTTTGATATGTTGCCACAGAACGGTGGACTGGTACCGAGTAATATTAGGACTGAGGTAGATAATGGGTTTGTACACCAGGATAATAGGCAAAAGTTAGATCAGAATATGGTAAGTGATCAAAGTCTGAATTGTAGGCAAGCGCAGTATGGTAGTTCGTTACAAAGCGGTATGGTACTTAATTATAATGGATCGAATGATTATTTAATGAGTAATAATAATAGACTGGTTTGTACTAATTTAATTGCAGTGCAAAAGGTGGTGCAAAATTGAAGTTTTGATTAATTTGGTTACTTAAGGGGGTATTCTAGTCTAAGAGTATGAATTTTTGCGATATTTTTTACGGTTTTTTGCGATTTCTTAAAGGCTTTAAGAAACAAGTAAACAATATTGTTGCGATGTATGTTTTTGCGAAAAAATCCCATTTACCGGTTTTATGTTTTCTCGACGTTTCAAATCATTCTGAATCGAATGAGATCAAATTGATTTTTAGTAAAGATAGCCTAAGCCGTTTCTTCGTAATTGTAAATTGTTTTGTTGATTATTATAGCCAAACAACTTTCCAAAAATCCTCTTTTACACATATTCTTGGCTTTCCCGCAGGTAAGCGGTTAAGAGCGACGGGCCTTGTTTCAGAGGTCCCGGGTTCGATACCCACTTCGAGCAGCCTGTTGTCAGGCAACATTGACAACGATTTTCACTCGGAAAGATAGATAGCAATATGTTTCTAAGTGAAAATAGCCCTCGCCCGGAATTGCTGCACCATACTCGCCCTATTACAGAAATTGTAGTAATAATTTTATCATACAGAGATGTGACAACTGTTTGGGTTGCCATCTGTCAAACAGACTAGTATAAAGTCAAAATTAGCACAACAGCTTATAGGACTATTAGGTTCTGAACAATAAAAAAAACACATATTCTTAAATAGTTAAACTTTAAAAATTTTGAGAAAAATCGACTTTTTAAAAATTCTGGACCAGAGTACCCCCTTGAGTTGATCCCTTTTGTGATACTGTACCCGAGAGACTTTATCGTTGTACTTCTTTTTATTTAAATTAACTTATATTAGATTTTTGAAACTTTAAAAAAACATAGTTAACAAATTGGATTTTCAGGACAAAACGTAAACTTTACGTTCAAGAAGTTAAAAGAAAAATTATGAGTTGATAAAAATAGTCCTCTGAAATTTTACTTACTATCTGTGGTACTAAATTTAACTTAAAAGTATTATTGAAAAATATTTTATTTATTTGTGACGAGTTTTATTATAAAAAAACTGTGGATTTAATACAAACACAGTTTTTACCCTGCAAACCACAAACATTCAATTAAGTTAAAATAACGTAGCACAGAAGAAACGTCGTTACGTATTTGACGGTAACGTTACGATTAATCAAACGTAAATGTTACGTATAGTTGTAGCCTTTAATCGGCCTCAACGTTGATACTTCGTTTTTGTTCAACGTTGATACAGTTACGAAATAGAGACGTCTGTGTGCCTTCTAGGTTACGTAACCTTTATGTTCGACGTTATAGATGTTGCGTTATATTAACGTTTTAATTACGTTTTGTGGTTTATTGGGTATATTATTTAATTAAATTTATTTTTAATGTGATTTTAAAACAAATATTAGCCATTAGAAATAAAAACTTATTTCTAACATTGTCAAAACGTTGCAATAGAACTGGTGATATTTACTCGCAACTCAGGTTTTAATTAAACAGAAAATAAATTAAAATATTTATTGATAAATGCAAAAACTGTTAAAATAATTTTGTCAATACTGTATAAGCATTTTAGCTAAGAAAGATTATTGAATATTTTAGAAAACACTTTAATATTCCATGAGGTTACAGCAATGCATTTAAATCAGGTTTGATACCCACTTCGGACAGCCTGATGTCAAGCAATAGACATCGTTTTCACTTGAAAACATGAATAATATTATTGTTGTGAAGCTGTTGTGAAAACTATAGTAAACTTAACGACGTGGCTTTTTTAGATGGAAACCCAAATGGTTTTCCTGTCTGTGTGTGAAGAATTTATTATTGAAATTAAATTAAAATATTACAGAAATTATCTGCAACAGTAATAAAAGTTTGATTGATTGAGCAACGTCGTGTAAAAGCTATTTTCACTTGGAAACTATATATATAGGTAACTATATAATTATAATAATAAATTTTTCACATACAGACAGGAAAACAATTTGGGTTGCTATCTACAAGAGCCTTGTCTTTACAGCTTATTGGACTTAACGAGTCTTAACAGCTTATTGGGCTCGTTAAATTCTGATTGCTGTTAGTGATATTTATAAAAAGTATCTATTAGTCTTTTTCTTTTCAAAAGTGTTTTCTGAGATATTCATAAATCTTCTATCGAGCTATACAACAATAGTTTTAATTTAAACTGGACCTCACAATAATTACACAAAATACCTCATAATAAGCCTCAACAATAAACGTAAAGACAGTGTTATTGTATAATAAGATAAATAAATACTTAAAACATGATTTTTATTAATAATCTCTAAATTACTTAAATATCCAATTCTAAAACATATATGTTGCTTACTATATTTATAAGACGATATGGAACTTTAAGAAAACACCTGGAAAGGAATTATTTATAAATAATTTCTTTGGAATTACTTAGACCTAATTGGAAGACGCATTAGAAGTTTCACTTTAATAAAAAATATTTTATTAATTAATGACTGTTGTGATTGTCTGAGAATGTTGTAGATTGTCTGAAAATATTATATATTGTCTCTGAATGATGTGATTTGTATGAAAACTGTGTATATTGTCACAGAATGTTGATTGATGTAATGTTTAATGATGTAATTTGTCTGAAAATGGTGTATATCTTCTCAAAATGTTGTAATTTATCTGAAAATATTGTAGAGTGTTTGAAAATGTTATATATTGTCTCAGAATGATGTAATTTGTCTGAAAATGGTGTATATTGTCGCAGAATGCTGTAAATTGTCTGAAAATATTGTATACTAATTATAATCAGTCTGAAAATGATGTATATTGTTTTATAATATTGGAGTTAGTCTGAAAATGGTGTATATATACACCAGATGGCAACAGTCAATGTATTGCTTCAGAATGTTTTAATTATTTCATCTGAAAATATTGTATATTGTCTGAAAATGTTGTAGATTGTCTCAAAATGATGTAATTTGTCTAAAAGTGTATATACTCTCTCAGAATGTTATTTGTCTGAGAATGTTGTAGATTGTCTGAAAATGTTGTATATTGTGTCAGAATGATGTAATTTGTCTAAATATGGTGTATTTTGTCTCAGAATTTTATAATTTGCCTGAAAATATTGTCTCAGAAAGTTGTAATTGTCTGAAAATTATGTAGATTGTTTCAGAATGATGTCATTTATATGAAGTTGGTGTATGTTGTCTCAGAATAATGAAATTTGTTTGAGACTGTTTGTTGTCTCAGAATGATGTAATTTATCTGAAATTGGTGTATATTGTCTCAGAATGATGCACCTTGTTTGAAAATGTTGTATATTGTCTCAGAATGATGTAATATGATTTAAAATTGTGTATATTGTCTCCGAATGATGTAATTTGTCTGATAATGTTGTACATTGTCTCAGAATGTTATAATTTATCTATAAATATTTTCTCAGGATGTTGTAATTTGTCTGAAAATGGTGTATATTGTATCAAAATGATGTAATTTGTCTAAAAATATTGTCTTAAAATATGGTAATTAGTCTGAATATGATGTACATTGTTTCGAAATATTGTAATTTTTTGAAAATGGTGATGTCAACAGACAATTGTCTCAGAATGTTTTAATTAATTTATCTGAAAATATTGTATATTGTCTGCAAATGTTGTAAAGTGCCTCAGAATGTTGTAATTTGTCTGAAAGTGTTGTATATTATCTCAGAATGATGTAATTTGTCTAAAAATTGTGTAGATTGTGTGAGAAAGTTGTAGAATTCGTATCTTACTACTAAAAATCAATTTATATTTTCAATTACACATTAAGAAGCTTTACTTTTTTACAAAATACTTACACTTCATTCTTAATTCATTTTTTACTTTTATAAATATCTTTTTAAATTTTACTGACTTTTTTGTCTATAACGTTGGCAAACATCAACCATTTGTAGCTAATTTCTCTGCAATGCAGTTTTGACAGTTCGCGTTGTTAACCTCGTACATGCACATTGTGTATAATAATTAACAAACAATAAAAAATTGTGATAAAACTTTAATTATTTATTAAAGTAAACGTGGGTAGTATTAATATATTTTGTCCCCAACTATGCAACATATGTGTCACATTGTACAATATCCATTATAGTTCCTAGGTTAAGATTTATCATGTCTTTATACAAACCAAAGTCTTTCCTGCACATATTCTCAAAACAACACATCCTCAGACAATTAAACTATGTCAATTACCGAAAGTTTT